TCAGATTTTTTCATACAATTTTTTCCCGCTAACTCCCGTTCCCGTGAGAATTTTGCAATATCCTGTTGTAACTAAGCTTTAAGTTTACTAAGGTACCTGCATGCCAAATTTCAAGCGTCTAACTTAAGCGGTTTAGATTTTTCATACAAAAGGATTTTCCCGCTGATTTCCGTTCCCGTAGGAATTCCTAAGTATCCTATAACCTGCCCAGGAGTATGAAGAATAATTGTACCAAGTTTCGTTAAAATCCGTCGAGTAGTTTTTCTTTCTATAAGGAACATACAGACAGACAGACAGACAGACAGACAGACAGACAGACAGACAGACAAAAATTTTACTGATTGCATTTTTGGCATCAGTATCGATCAATAATCACCCCCTGATAGTTATTTTGAAAATATATTTCATGTACAGAATTGACCTCTCTACAGATTTATTATAAGTATAGATTAAGATTTTAACTGACTCTCCATTTGTAGGAAGGTCACATTATAATGAGAGTAAGTATGATCGACTTTCCATTCTTCGATAAACTTTATTTATTTGACATTTTAATCTATCACATGTGGTTTTGTATTTACCTTAAATTATTATGTGTTTTATGAATGTTGCTGTTTATTTCGTTAATAAATGAAAAAATAAAATAAAATAAATTATGAATTTAATTATTGCATACCTTATTTCGAGATATTACTGTGTTAATCTAGTAAACCATTAAAATAAATAAATTAAGTTTATAAAGTAAGGGGGCGTCCATAAATTACGTGAGACAATTTTGGCTATTTTTCAACCCCCCCGCCCCCCTTGGTGAGATTTGGTGAGATTTTGCCTGACCCCCTCCCCCACCCCCTAATCTCACGTGATATTTAAAAAATCCGAAATTTAATAGTTTTGGAGTAATTTAACTGAGTTTCAAAGACTATTTTTCGATTTAGGGATCCGTTTGCAAACTATTAAAGTTGAAAGTGCCAATTTTTGTTCGCGTCCCCCCTAAAAACTAGACTGTTGGCTTGAAAAATCTGGAAAAATTCATAATAATACTGCTTTTTATGAACTTTCAAGAAAACTATAACGGTTAGGGAAGGTCAGTTAGTTTGAGAGTAATAGTCTCTATTATAAAATTTCATATCTAATAAAAAATCCTTAAAAGAAAATATTAAAAGTGACTTTAGATGAAGTAATTGCTTGCTTCTGAAATATATTTTGTTAACGACGGACAACTACGGAACCTTACACTGCGCGTGGCATGACACGCACTTGGCCAATTTTTTTACTTAAGATTTAAACCCAGTTTTCTGGCAAACTCTATTTCTCTATTTCTTGCGGAAAAAATTACGTGATATTTCCTGAGACCCCCCCTCTCCCCCACGTGAGATTTAGTGAGGTTTTTGTTGACCCCCTCCCCCCCCTAAAAGTCTCACGTAATTTATGGACGCCCCCTAATGGAGGTTTCGCTTGGAAACTATTGGCACTGGGGAGCTGTAATTTTGTGAAGGTATTTGGAAGGTATACCTATTAATCACGCCGACAAAACAGAAAATAAAATTTTGAAAAAAAAAAAGAAAAAATCTGGGGTAGCTCCCCTGCATGTAAAGTCGGAATGATTTTTTCAAGGAAAACAACGGTTAAGATACATTACCTTAGTTTAAGAGTAATAGTCATTTGACTCATGAATTATACAATTTCTTAACCAGTAAAAATTATTTAGAAGAAAATATTAAAAGTGACTTTAGATGAAGTAATTGCTTGCTTCTGAAATATATTGTGGTAACGACAGACAACTACGGAACCGTACACTGCACGTGGCACGACACTTGACGACACGCACTTGGCCAATTTTTTACGCAGTAGCGATGCCGATGACGTTTTTTTTTTATTTCAAAGGACAATGACCAAACGTGGTCCAAATGTCCACCACTAATGAGACCTATATTGGCTTATGCTTATAGTCCATTAAATAGAGATTAACTTTCAGTATTGGACGAAAAAAAAAAATAAGCTGTCAGTAAAAAGTTATGACTGTATGAAAAATTGTAGTAGTTTACGCGCTAATCTCGGGAACTACTGGTCCGATTTGAAAAAATCTTTTTGTAATGGATAGCCCATTTATCAAGGATGGTTTTAGGTTACATAACTTCACCCTACAACCAAGGGATGGAGCAGCGACCACCCGGCCATAATTCCAATATTGTCGTCTTTCTTCTGAGTTCATTTTTTTTTTCTTTTAGCGAGAATGTAACACGGCACACTAAGCGACATGACATAACATGCATAGATTAGTCCAAAATGTGCGATAGATAGAATGATATCAAGAACATTTTTCGGATGAAAAGGTTAAAAACATGGCTTTTCCTTCAGTCATAACTTTTTACTGACAGCATATTTTTGATTGCGGTTTGGTTATACTGAATTGGTATTTAGTAGACTATTTTACTACATAGGTCTCGTTAGTGGTGGACATTTGGACCACACTCCATACATTTTTGGTCATTGTCCTTTTCTTAATTTCGACATTTATTCTGCATCTTTAGTGTTCACAAATGCAGATGGAGGCATTTTTAGTTTAATTTGATTAGACGTTTTGGAATAAATTGTCATTATTATCATAAAAAAAATCATTTTTTTTTTACTTCAATAACCCAGTTTTCTGGCAATTTTACTCTATTTCTTGCGGGAAAAATTACGTGATATTTTCCGAGACCCCCCCTCTCCCCCACGTGAGATTTAGTGAGGTTTTCGTTGACCCCCTCCCCCCCTTAAAAGTCTCACGTAATTTATGGACGCCCCCTTAGTAACAATTAAAACAAATAGGGGAAAGTAGTACGAGATGATCCCCTTAAGCGGGAATCGCTGTAAAATACATATTTTTCAAGGTAAACCAAAAATAAAGACGATTACTACTAGTATATTTATCTATCCAACTTTCCTTATACTCAGAACCAAAAATTAATTGTGGTTTCATTAAAATATTTCATTTTTTGCAAAACCTTACAAAGTGATCATCTTGTACACCCCTGTGGGTAAGATGATCCCCCAGGTAGGGGTAAGATGATCCCTATGATTCTATTCTATGATCTATTCTTTTCTGGTTGTATTCCTTTCGGAGCACCTAATTATACGAACAAATCGTTAAAAAGTAAGAAAAGAAAAACATTTACGAAATAAATAACGAAAATAACTTATTCTTTCTTAGTACCTGCTAAAAAGCGTTTAAATAATTTAAACGCTTTTTGGCTGGAGCTGTGTTGAATATATCACAAATAAATTCACCTGCTTCATCACCCTCTACCCCAGCACATGCTTTATGGCCCCATTTTCCACATGATTATCATTTTATCCATCCTTAACCCTTGGTATCGCTTGAAAACTTTTCTGTTCAGTACAGTCACTCAGTTTCATCTTCTTTAGACTCAGGTGAGTTAGGTTTAAGAAGTTCTTTTTCTTTTATTTCACTTCCCTTTACCTACTCTATTGACTTTTTTGTTTTAATTCCCAGGGATCATCTCGTACATATAGGAAGGGATCATCTTGACCCAAGTCCCACTTTTTGTTAAATATTTGCTAAAATAATGTACAAGTACGCGGCTACGTTTTTATGGCCAAAATATTAAAATTAAACATAATAGAAAGCCTAACGACAACAGTAATTACATTTAAAATTGTTTGAATAAAAGTAACATAAGCTCAAAGTCATGCCTATTTTAGATCACAAGTACACAATTTTTCTTTTTTCTCGTCAAATTCGATGTATCGCTCACGCCACCATTACGATTTGACTGAGGCGGGGAGGTGTCCAGAGCTATGTTTTACCAGTGAAAGAAACTAAATGACGTTAGTGGTTTCAGCACAATCGCAAAGGATCATCTTACCCCAGGGGATCAACTCGTACTACTTTCCGTTACAGGATGTCGTTACACAGATTGAGCCACATTTCTCCAGCTTTCATTTTTCTCCCACACTAGATTTTTTAATTATATTTTTTAGCTAATATAGTTACTTAATATCAGGGTTCGAAAATATCCGATATTTATTATAAATATCAAAATATCGGATATTTATGATATACAGGGTGTTAGGTAAATGGGTATATGAGCCGACACTAGCCCATGTTAACATGGTCATTTAAATGGTATGGCGAAGTCAGAAAATTTATATCTTCATTTTAATTATTTTATTTTTCATACAAATCGGATTTTATAAAATTAATTTTGTATGAAAATTAAAAAAATTAAAATGATATCAAATTTCTGACTTTACCATACCATTTATATGACCATGTTAACATGGGCTAGTGTCGGCTCATATACCCATTTACCTAACACCCTGTATATCCGATATATATNGGTTAGGGAAGGTCAGTTAGTTTGAGAGTAATAGTCTCTATTATAAAATTTCATATCTAATAAAAAATCCTTAAAAGAAAATATTAAAAGTGACTTTAGATGAAGTAATTGCTTGCTTCTGAAATATATTTTGTTAACGACGGACAACTACGGAACCTTACACTGCGCGTGGCATGACACGCACTTGGCCAATTTTTTTACTTAAGATTTAAACCCAGTTTTCTGGCAAACTCTATTTCTCTATTTCTTGCGGAAAAAATTACGTGATATTTCCTGAGACCCCCCCTCTCCCCCACGTGAGATTTAGTGAGGTTTTTGTTGACCCCCTCCCCCCCCTAAAAGTCTCACGTAATTTATGGACGCCCCCTAATGGTTTAATGTTATAAAGGATTTACATAATAATAAAGATATGTCATTTCGCTCGCATCAGCTATTTACTCGTATAGGTAAGTACTTATTTACTCGTATAAATATGCTTATTTAGCTACATAATATGCACATTGCTTTTCTATAGGGGAGGTCAGTCTCTGTGACCTTAATTTCCCAGAGAAGCCATAAAAAAATGTTGCCCATTCGTTTGCTAACTTTTTGCAGATTATTTGCTATTTATTTCCTTAATATAGTCAAATCTATTCATTAGTAAAAACTACGACTCACCGTAAATCCGATGCCGACAGTCGCTGAAAAATTTCCCTGTTGGAACTTTCCCGTCTCGAACTGGACTAGTAGAGATGTCTTTCCCACGCCGCTGTCACCCAGCAGGATCGTCTGTGGCATTTAATCAATTTAAATAGGGTCCTCTACGTAGGGCAAAAAAAGAATGAGACCTGTATAGGCTCCTTAAGAGCATTTGACGGTTTGTAAGTACTAATTTAATTAGTCTAAACAAATAAAGATAAAAAGGCAGTGGCAAAAAATTCGCAACAAAGTTCTTCGCTACAGCGGCATTCGAATCTATATTGTGTGGGGATTGAACCTGCGATTACTATGCTATGGTACACCCAGTGTATTTTTAATGTTAGAAAATCATCTATACTTATAATAAATCTGTAGAGAGGTCAATTCTGTACATGAAATATATTTTCAAAATAATTATCAGGGGTGATTAGTGATCGATACTGATGCCAAAAATTCAATCAGTAAAATTTTTGTCTGTCTGTCTGTCTGTCTGTCTGTATGTTCCTTATAGAAACAAAAACTACTGGACGGATTTTAACGAAACTTGGTACAATTATTCTTCATACTCTTGGGCAGGTTATAGTATACTTAGGGATTCCCACGGGAACAGGAATTAGCGGGAAAATCCTTTTGTATGAAAAATCTAAACCGCTTAAGTTAGACGCTTGAAATTTGGCATGCAGGTACCTTAGTAAACTTAAAGCTTAGTTACAACAGGATATTGCAAAATTCCCACGGGAACGGGAGTTAGCGGGAAAAAACATTTGTATGAAAAAATCTAAACCGCGTAAGATAGATGAAGGGGGTAAAACGGGATCCACGCGTACGAAGTCGCGGGCGGCCACTAGTTATGAAATAAACATAGCAGGTACCTACTCGTATCTAAATACGCACAAAGTAGAACTAGAAAGCAAGAAAAACAGGGCTTGAAGAAAAAAAAGAAATATTAAGTAGGGGAGACCTAGGAGAGTTGTGACAATTTTTACTCTAGGGGCCATAATATCTCGCTCAAAAAACATTCCACAGCTATGAATCATACAAATTAATGTAGCGCCGTTCCTTCTGTTTTCAAAACAATCACCAAAGTTAACTAAAGTATTAGGGTTTCTAAGAAAATCACCAAAATCTTAGACCACTCCCTCTGTCACAACTCTCCTAGCACCGAGGTAAGTTGTGACAGGTACTGAGGTGAGTTGTGACAGCATTGTATTTCATCTATTGGACATAAAAATACCATAATACTCAATCAAATATGATTTTTTAGCAAAAAAGTACTTTAATCATCCTTTAGGGGGCGTCCATAAATTACGTGAGACAATTTTGGCCATTTTTCAACCCCCCCGCCCCCCTTGGTGAGATTTGGTGAGATTTTGCCTGACCCCCTCCCCCACCCCCCTAGTCTCACGTGATATTTAAGCCAATAAAAATGCCTATTTTGCAATATCTATGCTTCGAGTCTATTAGATGTATTAATGTATATGAAAAAATCAGTAACCCAGTGTCGTGCCACGCGCAGTGCAGGGTTCCTTAGCTTCCCGTCGTTTAGTAGGTAAGACAAGCAATTGCTTCAACCTAGCCAGCTTTTTGATTCATAGTTAAAATAACGAATTGTTAAATTTTGCTACTAATGGTTAAATATTAATAAAATGTAAATAATATAATAATTAAAAAATATATTAAAAGTCAAGTTAAACATTGTTATAAAAACATTTTTTTCTGTTATTTAACCACTTGTCATTTGTCAAATTTGACTATTGGTTACTTTAACCAGGCCTGGCTCACTCCGCGCGGTACATCCGATAATTACCTACAGCGAAGCGCCCCGCCGGCGGGTATTATATCAGTCGAGTGTCACGCGCGCACTCGTCAGGACGCTGGCGTGCGTTGTAGTATGATTATAATTCTATGATCGAAGTATTATTTAAAAATGGACATAAAGAGAAAGAAATATTGTGCGGCGTTCGGGTGTTTAAATTCGAAAAGTAATCTACCGGATTTATCTTCTTTTTTCTCGTCAAATTCGATGTATCGCTCACGCCACCATTACGATTTGACTGAGGCGGGGAGGTGTCCAGAGCTATGTTTTACCAGTGAAAGAAACTAAATGACGTTAGTGGTTTCAGCACAATCGCAAAGGATCATCTTACCCCAGGGGATCAACTCGTACTACTTTCCGTTACAGGATGTCGTTACACAGATTGAGCCACATTTCTCCAGCTTTCATTTTTCTCCCACACTAGATTTTTTAATTATATTTTTTAGCTAATATAGTTACTTAATATCAGGGTTCGAAAATATCCGATATTTATTATAAATATCAAAATATCGGATATTTATGATATACAGGGTGTTAGGTAAATGGGTATATGAGCCGACACTAGCCCATGTTAACATGGTCATTTAAATGGTATGGCGAAGTCAGAAAATTTATATCTTCATTTTAATTATTTTATTTTTCATACAAATCGGATTTTATAAAATTAATTTTGTATGAAAATTAAAAAAATTAAAATGATATCAAATTTCTGACTTTACCATACCATTTATATGACCATGTTAACATGGGCTAGTGTCGGCTCATATACCCATTTACCTAACACCCTGTATATCCGATATATATCAACTTTGATATATATCAATTTTGTATGAAAGCCATAGTATTATTTTATTATATTATTCATGAATACTATTGCATATGTGTTACATAAACATGTTTTTAATGTTTTTAAAACTTAAAATCAGACAAATAAAGCAAAAACATAAAATATCTTTGAAATACGGCAAAATCACCAAAAAAAATAAATATCTTATGTCAAAAAGTACAAATACAGTAAGAAATTTTAAAAGTTGATATATATCATCAAAACCGGCTTGATATATATCGGATATATATCCGATATATATCTTGATATATATCCTTTGATATATATCCTCGAACCCTGCTTAATATATTTTCTTCCTCTTCTGTAAAAATAAAATAGTCGCGGTGGCATAATCCATGGACGGAGCTTCGCCTTCTGGGTTTACTTGATAAGCCTCTTTCTTCTTAATATGTATATCTTGACAAGTTTAGATTGTAAGAGGTCGCAGCATATTATCTTAAACTTTAACCCTTTTTAACCTAATCACTTCATAAGCTAGGTCCTATATTTCGACTCCAGCAAGCAGTTCCTCTATATGGCATTCATGTATAGTTATTAGGCATTCAGAATCAAAAAAGTAGCAGCAGGCGATTATACAAATTATGAACCTACTAACACACAAAAAAAACATCTAAAAATATCGTGGAAATGGCCCATCAGAAAAATTAAGTAAGCTAGGAGAGTTGTGACAGGCTGTCACAACTCTCCTAGGTGTTTAAAATGACGACTTGGTTCGAATAATATTTTTTATTTTCTAAACACGATGCGCACACAAAACATCAGTGCTACATTTTGAGACCTGAATAACCATGCAACTTAAGAAAAAATAACACAACAGTGCACATTATACTAAAACATGATATAAACTTAAATAAAATTATGACGAAAAACTTACTTTTCGCATTTTTTTGTACACAGACGTCATATTTACGTAACCGAGCCTCTAGCGCCGCCCGCAGGTACTTAGTCAAGAAGAGCGTCTTAAAAGCGACAAACAAACGTTTTTACCAGCTTCCTAACTATATTAAGTAAGGAGAAATCGTCCTTGTCACAACTCACCTCTGTCACAACTCTCCTAGGTCTCCCCTAGGTCCCTCAGAGGTACCTACACAGTCGCTATATTCGAAATTTCGAAGGGGAAAAATATAGAGTTAAGGTAAATTGAAAGTAAATACTTTTCGTTATTCTCAAAAATAGTATCTACAAAAATTTATGGCGTTAAAAGGTTTTTTACCAATAATTCTGAAATTCTTGGAACTTTTTTCAATAAAAGCTATTGTTAACATCTTTTGTTCTTTACTGATTTCTGATTTTAAAACAATGAATTCTAAATCGTTTCATGAAATTTATTTAGAACCCACAAAAGAGTTTCCTCTATGCTCTTGATTATGTTATTCCTCGTATTAATTTAATCAAAGTTGAATGTTTTTCCAAGAAGGACCTACCCTGTTATAATTAGTAATTTTAAAACATGCCCATCTAATTAAATGTTTGTTTATCAAGGTTGTCAGTAATTAAAATGTATCGATAGTAATTAAACGTCGTCCTTCATACTTATTAAATGCCTGGATGGCTTATCTAAATAAATTTAATGCACTCAGGAGGATTTAATGAATGCTGCCGACACGATAAGAAGAAAATGATACACAAAAGTTATCGACGATTGTCAGTTTTCAATAAGAAAATAAGAGGTCGACAAATGAATGAAAAGCCTATTTTTAGATCGACGCGGCCTTTTTTTTTTCAGTTATGTATTTGGTTTTGGTTTTTGAGTACTCGACGGAAAGTCAACAGTGTTCAAAGTATAGCTACAAACGCACACCTAACTAACGCAGAACTTCCTACCTAACCCTAGCATGCGATAACATTTGCTCGCTAAAATTTATATATTATAGCATACGATAGCTTTGCTTTGTGTTCGTTCGTTCGTTTCAGCCGAAAGACGTCTACTGCTGGACAAAGGCCTCCCCCAAGGATTTCCACAAAGATCGGTCCTGCGCCGCTCGCATCCAGGTGTCTCCCGCGACCTTCACCAGATCGTCGGTCCACCTAGTGGAAGGCCTGCCCACGCTACTGTATTTCAAGATAAAATCCAATACTAAAGATCCGTTTGTCTGGTCTTCAAATTATTATTCATAGGTACCGAGAAAAGTTGTTTACGAATTCGAAGTACCTAATTCATGAAGATGTTAGGTAGCTGAGAGCTGTGTAGTTCAACAATAATTTTAATTAATTGTTGCTAAGGATGAAGTTATCGTAATATTGAAACTTGTTAATCTGTTGTTGATTCCCTAGCAACTGTAGTAGAGTTGTCCAAGTTCAGCGATTTTATGAGCTACTAGCTCATAGAGCTAGCTAGGCTAGAGAATAACAATATTCACGATATTTTGTAACATGTGAAATTAATCCTACGAATCTCGTGTGATTGATGTGGAATAGCTTCCCACATAAACAAAACACTCCAATTAGGAATAATACCACTGCAAATAATACCGTAATAATAGACCTTTGTTGTAATCCTCTTACCGTAGTATGTGGGCTTTCGCAAAATACACAGTTCAATGGAAAATCAGGACAATCAAGCCGTAAACTTAAACTAAATTCCGAGAAGGTCAATTTGACTAAGCAAAGGATAATTATGATCAGAACTGCCTGATATTAACAGTAATCCTAAGAAAATAATTACTTAATAGTAATTTAGTTCGTTAATAATCCTTGTAGTTAAGCTGTTTGATACTAACTGATGAGGCTCTAGCTGGGAAATTAATATTTAGGTATACATAAGGTAGGGCTTAAGTCTGTTTGTCTTAAGGCTTTCTTATTAGAGCGCCGCGCTGGGAGCTGATAAAAGATATTAAGTAAGACTCACTTTAGCGTCCTACTTCTTAGACATTGTCGGCATAGTTTTTGGCGGGTTTGGCGGGCGGCAGGTCTCTATTGCTATACAATTAAGGCTCAGTGTCGCGTACCTTGTGGATGGGCACGTCGTCGTCGGCGTAGGCCTTGGCGGCCGTCTCGGCGGGCGGGCAGTAGTCGGGGTAGCCGGTGGGCGCAGTCTCTATTGCTATACACATAAAGGTCAGTATCGTACCTTGTGGATGGGCACGTCGTCGTCGGCGTAGGTCTTGGCGGGGGTTTCGGCGGGCGGGCGGTAGTCGGGGTAGTCGGTGGGCGCAGTCTTTATTGCTAAAGTCCGGTCGCCGAGCTCGTAGAATTTCGTCGCGCTTTCACACTCACTGTGACCGCCCATCGCACAGTCGCTACAGCAATATAATTACGCGCGAGCGAAAAGGATGGGTAGTTTGGGGTCATTGGATGAAATTCTACGTGCTCGGGCAACCGGACTTTATACACATAAGGCTCAGCGTCGCGTACCTTGTGAATGGACACGTCGTCGTCGGCGTAGGCCTTGGCGGGCGTCTCGGCGGGCGGGCGGTAGTCGGGGTAGCAACTTGTAGCCGGTAGGCGCAGTCCCTATTACTATTCATATAAGGCTCAATGTCGCGTACCTTGTGGATGGGCACGTCGTCGTCGGCGTAGGTCTTGGCAGGCGTCTCGGCGGGCGGGCGGTAGTCGGGGTAGCCAGTGGGCGAGCGCGTGTTGCGCTGCGCAGGCGCCGCTCGAAGCGTGTCTTCTTCGAACACATCGTCGCTCATGCTGTCATCTGTCATTTGCTGGTGACAAAATAATATAGTTAATTATAGTGACGAATTTGCCTAGGAAATGTTTATAGTGACAATAGATTGTACTGAAACTGAATTAAGTATTTAATTATAGAGCTTTTAATAGTCTAAAACTACTTGTTTCTCTCGTCCTTGTACAATCATCTTATCTTAATAAAAGACAGCCAATGAGGTTCATAGCAAAATATCTTGCCCGAGTGTCTAGTAGGTAACAACTTATTATACTCCAGAATTCTAGACTCGCAATGGGAATTTCCATTTCTCAAAATCGCTCCAGGTCTCCTCGCAAAACGGGACATGTCTGTGCATTAATAAATTAAGTTTAGTGCTTTGGAATGTCTTAAGTTTCTCGCATATCGCAGTTATATTTCCCTGTGAAACTTAACCATATCTTCATTTAACGACACATATTATGAGTTATTATCAAGAGACGGAGCGAGTCGAGGGGACCATTCAAGTTTCAACTGTCCTCGTCGATCTGATAAGAGAAGTTCATCCAGTTTAGAGCGCAGTCGAAATTGACGGTAGTTTTGTTTAGCGTGAGTCAGCATGACAAAGCGCAAATAAATTGGTAACAGAACCAGAAACTCTGAGTCAAGAGAGTTTATTTTTTTATCATTGACTCTACATGCTTAGTTACTTTAAGATCCGCTGACAAAAATAACTACTTTAAACAAAATAATAGCAATAACATTATCCCAATGACCACCAAAACCAAGATGAAAGAAATAAGATTAATCTAAGAAGATTTATTTTTGTCCTACGGTCACAGACTTCAAAATATTCTAATCTTATTATGTAAAGGTCAACCCAAACCGGTTGGCCGCTAGTTCATCCTTTGATCTGTCACACACAGGACGTCATAAGCTTATTGAACAAACTGGATTGGCCAAAGTATTCGTGTACAACAGAAAACCTTTACAAACGGTAGGTCCTTTTAAAACATCCCATGGAGGATGAAAGAAAGAAAGACCACAGTAAGTATAATTTTATCATAGATTGGTTAACCACTGTTTAATACCTCCATGCTCAGCATACTGGCTGATTCGATATTTTTTTATAAAAAAAAGAAAAGAAGGAAAAAAAGCTGTCAATTGTTTTTACTGTCTTCGCAGCTCGGTTTTTTGTCTGTAACACAATACAATTTTTCTGCGTCGTACCAAATCAAATATTATCATCGTCGTTTTTTTAGACCTACTGGTCAAACGTACTCCATATTTTTTGTGGTCCTTCGAGCCGGATAGCTCTTTGGATTCTACAGTCAATAAAAAACGCTCATCGAAAACTCTAAAATTTCCAGGTAGCACTTTTTAGCACGCCATTGTTAATTTCGTAAGTCGAAAATTCAAACTTTATTGTATTACTTTTACGTTATTTAAACGTTGACTCAAGCAAACACAGTTTTACTTGTCAATTATTTCGTAAAATCGTAATAAATAACTCGTCTTTTCAAACTCATTTTCATCGTTGAAAACTTGAACATTAGGTCGTATTGTCAATATTTATGATCGATTCAATCGTTATTCTATTACTTTTACGTTATTTAAACGTTGACTCAAGCAAACACAGTTTTACTTGTCAATTATATCGTAAAATCGTAATAATAACTCGTCATTTCACACTAATTTTCATCGTTGAAAACTTGAACATTATGTCGTATTGGCAATATTCATGATCAATTCAATCTTTATTGTTTTACTTTTACGTTATTTAAACGTTGACTCAAGCAAACACAGTTTTACTTGTCAATTATATCGTAAAATCGTAATAATAACTCGTCATTTTACACTCATTTCCATCGTTGATAACTTAACATTTTGTCGTATTAGCAATATCCAAAATGGATGATGATTCAAAGTTAACTTTACTGAATACTCGTCGGGAGTATGTATTTCGTGAGATTCAAATATTGTACGATTTATCTCAACAAATTACGACAGACAGGAGCAAACTTGCGATATTTAAAAGTCGTTTCAAGCGCATAGATGCTATTCGAACTGAATTTGTCGAAGTTACAGACGAAATAAACCGGTTAATTTTAACAATTAATCCAGACACACAAATTGATTACAAGAAGGTAGAATCATTTGATTTGTTGTATTATTCCGTTGTTTCGGTGGCTGACGAGGTGTTGCCGTCGTTAGGCTCTACTTTAACCCCTTTCAAGGAATGTATCGCTTTACCTGTCACCCTATATAGTTCAGGAAGATTTATTTTTGTTTCTTAACTAATTAATTCGTTCATTTTGTTTTAATGCAGGTGCTTATCCTTGCGACTTTTAAGTTGTTGCTAGAGTGCAATATAATTTAATTTTCACTGTCCCTGTAAGAATGCGTGCAGTGTTTTATTATTTCTTATTTTCCTCTTGAAGAGGTTTAATTTACTTTTGAAATCCCTAAGTGATTTCAAGTGGGGGGGTATGTTTAATACCTCCATGCTCAGCATACTGGCTGATTCGATATTTTTTTATAAAAAAAAGAAAAGAAGGAAAAAAAGCTGTCAATTGTTTTTACTGTCTTCGCAGCTCGGTTTTTTGTCTGTAACACAATACAATTTTTCTGCGTCGTAGGTACCAAATCAAATATTATCATCGTCGTTTTTTTAGACCTACTGGTCAAACGTACTCCTACCACATATTTTGACTTAGGTTAGGGACTTTAGAGTTAAAAGCTTGACTCTACATGAAATCTGACAACTTTTTCACATTGTGAGCCATACGGTTCGTCTTGGCAACATTTTACATGAAAATATTTTTGGTGGGTTACGTTCGTTCGTTCGTTTCAGCCATCCACTGCTGGTTTTCTTCCTCTCCCAAGGTTTTCCACAATTGGTATAGGATAATAGGTGGGTTACGATAAGTAGTACAATGATTGTAAAGTAAATGAATTAGTTTTCTGAATACTGCCACACTCAGAATAACATATTTTAGTTTTATTCATTTATGTATAGTATCTTGTCTGCTAAATAGTCATAAAAAATATGATCCGCTCCATTAAAATTTTCCATGAGAATGATCTACTTTATATTTATTTTATTTTAAAAAATGCGATAAGATTCGCATCTAAAACTGAATGTTTAATTAAGCAACTTGAAAAACATTATCATTTTTTCAAGTTACTTATTTAAAAATTCAGTCACTCTCACTCAAATCACTCAAGTTAGTCTCGGTAGCCTGAAGGTTGTTGAATATAAACATGTTCTGTTAGGCCTACTGATTTATGACCCCAATACTGCCCACACTGTAACGTACTATGCGACCTGGATGAGATATTTAATTAAGTCCCCTTTTGTCGGGAGATTTAAGGTTATATGCGTCAAGGTTATTTACCGAAATGCCGAACTATATCCTATTTCATAGAAAGGTCGCGCGTAGGCTGAGGATCATGATTAGTGCAAAATTGAGAGGATATTGGTAAGGAAATGTAATATTCACATGAGTGGTTATTAATAACATTTTAGCATAACGTTTGGGTGTTTATTTAAAATTTGAATGACGGTTGCTCAGTTGCCAGTCATGATTATAAATTACTTGATATCATCATTATTATCATTGCAGCCATAGGCCTCCCCCAATGATTTCCACAATGGCCGGTTGGTGGCGGCCTGCATCCAGCGCCTTCCAGCTACTTTATGAGGTCGTCGGTCCTCCTTGTGGGTGGACGTCTTACGCTGCGCTTTCCGGTACGTAACCTCCACTCCAGAACCTTGCTGCCCCATCGGCCGTCAGTTCTGCGTACTATGTGCCCTGCCCATTGCCATTTCATCTTGCTAATCCGTTGGGCTATGTCAGCCTTTAGTTCGTACTTGCTATCTTGAAACCTACAATTACCAACGATTGGTATTACATTCTCTCTCTTACATCATCATCATCTTAGATTACGCTCTCTGAAAAACATCAATCTTTTAAGCTGCGATCTCCAACCCGCCTGCCAAGCGTGGAGATTATGGCAAAACCCTCCACTATAGTGGAGGAGGCTCATAGTCCAGCAGTGGACTGTAAAGGGCTGTTGATGATGATGATGTATTACATTATCTTACATCTTATCGTCGAACACCTAAACTAATGATACTTGATACTGGGCATAATGATGAGGGGAAACATCTTCCAGCGCGTAACTTCGATGTCTTCAAGTAGGTATTAACTCAATTCAATGTTAAAGGAGTATTGTCAATGGAATTTTCGATTGTTTACCGTTCAAAGGATTCCAAGTAATGAAGCACTTAACTGTCAATACGACGTCAATATTTACCCTGCCTTTGAATAGCTGCCATCCATTATTCCGTTCCCTTCGATGTAGTCCGACAGTTAATAATCTTAGTATACGTAGATTCAGTGGGTTCACTTCTCACTTAAAATACAATTATGCCTCCACTATTTGTTCACTTCTCACTTAAAATACAATAAATGCCTCCACCATTTGTTCTTTACGTAGTACACAGACGGGCGATTGGGCAGCAAGGTTCTGGAGGTCAGAGGATGGGGCAGCAAGGTCGATCCATGAGGTGGTGACGTCGTCCACTCATAAAGGTCAATATGAAAATCATAGCTGAAATGATGATGGTGATGGTTGTTTTAAATGGGTTAGCTGTAAATACATAGTCTCATAATCATTTTTAACGTTCGTTAAATTCTAATGGACCTTTGATGTCTCTTTAATTTTTATTTGCCGTTCAATCCCTTTTAGACATTTTTATAATTATATTCACGAGTAAAACGCTTATTTCTATACTTTAAAAATATTAAGTACCTATAACCTCGAACATTAAAAGGATATTAGAGGTCTTTCAAAAAGCTTTAGCGAACTCATAAAAGTAAAAAACCTGTTAATTACTTTTAACGATAAAAATTATAATTCAAATTTTCTCGTTAGGTCGACTACAAAACCTAATATTTTGGGACAAGCCTATTCCAAATGTGGGTAAAGCCTGGTCCGTGAGCACGTAGAATTTTGTCCAATGACCCCAAGCTACCCATCCTTAACAACAACACA